ATTTATGATAAATAATTTATATTATAGCATAATATTATTTTTATTTATTGATATTTATTTTAAAAATATTAAAATTTAATTAATGAATACTTATAATAAATAAAAGTTGAATTACATATAAAGTTAAAAAAATCCTTTAAAATTCTCTCATGAAAGAAAAACTCTTAAAATCACTCCCATACAAGATATGGTTCATATTTTTTATATATATGTTATTGATTTTTTTAAAAAATCTAATATTTTAACTTATGCAATGTACATATTAAATGTTTATTATATATAACAAAAATTTTAAGAAAATTATGTATAAAATAAATATTATGTTTGAATATATAAATTATATTTAAAATTGAAAAAAAATTACATATAAAATTAAAAGAATATTTAAAAACTCGTAAAACTTTTTTATAAAAATATTCTTGCACGAGATAATTGTTCGTGTTTTATATTTAGAGATCAATAAATGTTTTTAAACCTTTCTAATGTTAAATTAAATTAATTTAAACACATGGTTAATATGTTTCTAGGACAAATAATCATTAAAGTAATTTTTTCTGTTGAACTAAAACCAATTTTAGGAGCATCATGCAATAATCTTGTGTGGTAGAATGCGGTAAAGAGTCACCAATTTTAGGAGCATCATGCAATAATCTTGCGGGCCATCAACTAATAGGATATCTGAAGTTATTGGAAATGTAATAACCTCAGATAATGATTATAACACAATGCTTTGGAAGTGGGTTCAAAGTCTCCTCTTCACACGCTTTATGACCTTCAATTCACATAACCAAAGACTAGACTTTAAGAGTCCGTTCTCCAAGTCTCGTTGGAAAAAAAGGTTACTTATGCGTCACGATCTCATGCACAGGTGAAAATAATGTGTAATTAGGTCACATTATATATATAGGAGTGAAGATATTCTAAAGTAGAATGATAAGATATTTTATAAAGGATATGTTTAGACACAACTTTAAAGTGTTTTTGAGATTTTTTTTTTTAATTCTTCAAAGTTTGTATATAAAGAAGCTCAAAGTAACAAATTAATTGGTCTACATACTCAAACTATAAAACCTGTCACACCTTTATTCGTCGATCTCATCATAGCCTGATAGTAGTTCTAGGTAAGAGCCTCCTCAACATTAAGATGATGTCCTTCTTATGGGAATAGATATTTAATTAGTAAAAAGTCTTCCCACTCAAAAGGGCGTAATTCATTTTCTATTTACACCCATATTACTTCAATTTCATTTAAGTAAAGTATAACTCTAATTAAAAAACATAACTTAAAATTATGTCAATTTAATAAAATTTATCTAATAAAAAATATTTAGTTTTAAATTATTATATTTTCATATTTAATTTATAGTACTTTTATTGAGAATAATTTTTAAATTAGCTATCATTGAACTTACTACACATGGCTAATCAATATTAAAAAGATACTTAAAATATTAATATTTACTATTCAATAATAATTCAGATTAATTATTTTTAAATTTGTACTTTTATTATTTAAGAAAACCCGAATAACATATGTATTTATGCAGAATTGCAGTTTTTGTCCTACAAAACTGTTTTTATTTTAAATTATAATGATATATTTATACATTTTTATAAAAAAATCTGCAACATGTATATATAAAATAATAATATGCACGCATTAGACTTTTAATTCAATTTATTACTGATATGAAAATATATTTAAATTTTAAAGAGTTAGATATTTTTATATTTTAACTAATATAAAAAATACTGAAATATTTTAAGTTATGTTTTTTTTAATTAGAGTTATATTTTACTTAAATAGAATAGATTTAATATGGGTGTAAAAAAAAAAAAAAGAATAAGTACTTAGCTGCTTAATTTGAGTGTTATTTAAATTAATTTACCAGTTATTTTATCCGATACTCTCCCATTTACCACTCTATTTTAGAGAATCTCTATTCACATTTTTTTTTTTTGAAAAAATAGATGTGCTATAGCATCACTATGCTAAGGGGGGGTCCTAACTAGGTTAGCACCCCGCAACGCATCAATCATGTGTTCCACATCAAGAATAAGTATAGTTACTTCAATAATTTGAGTGTCATTTAAATTAATTTACCGATTATTTTATCCGATACTCTGCCGTCACCACTCTACTTTAGAGAATCTCTACTCACATTATAGATGGAAAAATAAGAGTATTCGCAACACATCTTTTTAATATAATTTTTGTTTAAATTAAAATTTATTAATTTAAAAATGAGATACATATATAATTTTATGATTTCTAACCAATTTTTGTGTAACTGATATTATATGACTCTTAAAAAATTGGGTGGCAAGGAATGAGGGGTAAATGAACACCATGATTCTTCATCAATCAATCGCCATAGTAGCCCACATGCACGAGGGCCAAAACAAACTCAAAAAGAAATCGTTAATGATATGATCCCATGTGCTATGGGGGCACATGTAAACCCCATTTTGTTTGTCTCAATTTCAAAGTTGCAATGAAATGAAAAGGATGAATCAAAGAAGTGGACACGTGGGCCAGTCGAAAGTTGACACATGGGAATGTCCATGATTTATAATTGAACATATTCCCTTTTGATGTCAACTAAGCATTTTTCGGAGTCGCAATACATTTTTAACACATGTTCTTTAATTAGTAAAAATTTATTATTATAAAATAAAAAGAATTAATGATCTCACATCTTACTTAATTATCTCTTCTAATTTTATAAATTTAAATAAGTTTTAACAAATAAGAATAAGTATAATAAGACGAGTATATTCTTAAACATGGTATTGACTTAAAAAATAGTTTTATTCGATATATATTTAAATAAGTTTTACCTATTTAAATAAAGTTTTTTTTTTTTTTTTATATCCATGGCTAAGAAATTAAACATGCATCACCATAGTTAAGAAAATCATGTATTTACCTTGGTGTTGTGTTTGAAGTTGTTGGAACATATTCCTATACACCAAAAGGAAAGAGAAAGTAAACGTGAGGGAGAAGGTGTGAGTGGCATGGCATGAAAGAAAGTTAAGCTAGAGCATTGAACTCCCCGACACTCTTGGTTTGTGATTGTGTGTGTTGTGTGTTGACGTACAAACAAGTGAATGGTTTTGCTTGCCATCTACAACACTGCAATCTAACCCAAGCAGCACCATTCATCATACCTCATATTCTGATGCACTAATATAAGACACTTGTGATGTGAGTTGGTGTTGAGGGAAAGGAAAGAATGCATTGAGTTGGCGTCATGAACAGAAGGAATGTGAATCCGCATCATCACCGCCGAGGTCACAGCTTCAATGGATTTGCCAACATCAATCTCTTATCCAACACAAGCTCTTCCAATGGTACTAAATAACTCTCACCTTTTCTCTTACCTGAGCTCATTCTCTTCCATTTACTATGTCTCTTTGTTGCAATGAACTCAAAATTCAGTGATTATTTCTCCAAATAAATTCAACTTAGCTATCTTGGTTAGCATGATCACAATCTGACTTAATTTGTAATTTAGTGCCATTAATCACTGCTGTTGTTAATATTTCTGGATAGGGAAACTCTCATTTGAATCAGCAAAATTGGTCACAAGTGGGATTGATGATCTATTGTCATCCACTGAAGGAGGAAAGCATGACTATGACTGGTAACATTGCATTTCTGTGACTTATTGTCATTTTATTTATAAGATTAACAAAATTTAATTAGAGACGACTCACCAACAAAAATCATAATCTCATGCCGTTTCATGTTAGACTCTGATTATTGTGAGTTAAAAGTCAATGTCATAGACCAATAATCAAAAACAGACAAAAGTTTTTTTTCACAAAGCTTTCATTCATTCCCAAGTGCCCTGTATCTTGCTAGCTACCTGCATTAGTTAAACAAAAATGATAAAATATAAACACTTTACAGTACTTTTCGTGGGAACTTACATTCACACATTGTTTCTATGGTTGGCTTCATATTTCATCACATTTTGATATGACAAACTGCAACTTCATATAGTTTTATTTATAAATTGTCATACAAAGACAAAGTAGTGTCCAATGTTGGCTTATGCATTTGCATCTTCTCTACTCGATTTGTAACTATTGCTATTGTGTTATAGGCTTCTAACTCCACCCGGGACCCCTCATTTACCATCATCAAAAGGTGAACCCAAACCAGCTTTGGGGCCTCCAAGAAGCAGTTTGGGTAGACCAACGTCAAACACTAATGCCTCAAGGGTATGACCATACTGATGCTCATAGTTTTGAGTAACTTCAACTGCACTCCAATGTGCTCATCATTAGATGTTTGTTTTCAACTCACCAAAACTAAATTCAAGCGTACTCAATCACCCAAAAGAAGATGATGTTATAATAATTACTTGGGCCTTTGGCCTTGTTTTGATAAAGTTTTCAATAACAACTACATGAAAAGGAAAATAACATAAACTAAATTAAACTAAACTTCTGTCGTAAGTAAGAATTTTAGAAAGTTAAAAATCAAATTTTAGAAACTCTTTAATAAATTAGCTTATAGATGAGATAATTTTAATTTATGAGAGAAGCTCAATTCATTTTATTGAGAAGTTTTTCTAAAAGGAATTCTACTATTTTCAAACAATCCCTAGATTGATCTATACATGAAAAATATGAAGCCTAATGAATCATATAGAATCACCATAAATAAAAGCTTTGAAGTATTTTTGAGAGTTTTTTTACCGAAAAATATTTTTTATTTTTGATAAAGATCTCAAAAACACTTAGATCTTATATCCAAACATGCTCATGATAAAAAGAAATTGTCAATAATCATTAAACCTGAAAGAGAACTGAGGGCACTATGAGCAACATCATTGTGTGACTTGTGTCAGTAACTGTCACACTACTAATGCTATCATCAAACTGAGACAGCTTACAGCTTCATCTCCCCAAGAAAGTATTACTGCATACCGAAGAAACTAATGAGGGTTGAATGCAAACAGGAAATGAAGAGTTGAAGAAACTCCTTCCCACCCCCACCCCTTTATATCCACTTTCTGCTTCGATAGCTTTGAAACACAAATTGGTTTTCAAATATTACTTATATGGACTCACTAGAATAAGAGTCTGTTTAGATAAAAGATAAAAGTGCTTTGAAAGTTTCTCTCCTGAAAAATATATTTATTTTTAATAAAAAAACTTTCAAAAATACTTTTAAACTTGTATTCAAACAGTTTTCGCTAAATGTTATGGTAATAAATTCTTAATTCCTCATCTTTCAGCTTTCAGTCTCACCATCAGAAAACAACAATCACAATCAGCCTCACTCAAGATCATCAAGAAGCGGATCAGTGACTCGCAGTCCAAATAGATCCTTTAACACAAGCCCTGCTTCAGTTTCATCTCACATTAGGCCACCCTCCCCCATAACCCGTTCTCCATCTGCAGCAAGGCCTTCCACTCCAACCAGAGCAGTACTACCTCGCTCACTTCCCACTGACACCACCAAAACTAGAACAACATCACAAGGCTCAAGGCCATCCACTCCTACCTCCACTCGCCGCCATTCTCCACGGCCGCAGCCGGTTGTTCCGCCCGATTTCCCCCTTGAAACACCACCAAACCTCAGAACAACATTGCCTGCTGATAGGCCTGTCTCTGCAGGCAGGTCCCGTCCTGGTGCTGTTGTCACTCTTCCTCTGAAGCCAAACTCCGAAACAAGGATACAGCCATCTCCTATTGTCAATAGGGGGAGACTGTCTGAGTACACAGCAAAAGGCCGTTGCCATACCAATGCCTCTCAAGTAGTTGCTCAGAAATCTCTTAAGTCTTCAACTACTGCCACAGACAGCAATGGACTCGGTAGGACCATCTCAAAGAAATCATTGGATATGGCTATTAGACACATGGTAATCACCTTAATATCTACTATCACAACACACTACTTTATCTTATTTCATATATAATTCTGAACATTACTTTATGCTGCCAGTTACAGAATGAAAACATGGTTTAAGGTTTTTTGGATAGATTTCTTAATAATTACTAATATAAGAAGATAGAATGAATTAAGTTTCTTTTCATAGGATAAAATAAATTTATACTACTAAGTCTTTGGGCCTAGTGGTTGTAAGGTCGGCTTTGGGCCCCAGAGGTTCATTTGGTGCTCCAACGATTGATTTCTGTTAACGTTGAAATAATGATTAGCTAGCGCAAATTATGTTGTGTGAGTGCTGATTAGTCTTTAATTGTTAACTTTATGATATTGTGTGAATCTAGTGCATGAAAAAAAAAAGTCAATTTGTACACTTCAACTTTTATAGACACTTTCGACACTTTTATTTTTTTTGTTGATGGGTAAGGAAGTTACATCAATACTAAGTTGATTCTAGTGGTTCAAAACTTTCTTATTTAACTTATCTAAAAATTATATAAATGTTGAAGTGTATAAGTTGATTTTAACTTTTGAGAGAAGCTCAAGTCATTTTACCCTTTTTTTCCTCCAATGAATGCTTATTGAGAAGTTAATGTTATAATAATTAATCATTATTCTAATGATTCTATATGAATTCTACTAGTTTTCTTTTATTTTGATCTTAGCATCTATGTGACTTGGAGCAGAATGGTACAATATATCCTCTTATTATCCTGATTGAAGATAGTTTATTCCATCAAATTTATTTAATTAGGATGTGAGGAATAGCTCCAGAACTCTTGGTTCACTTTCAAGCGCCACACTCTATCCTCAGAGTATTAGAACTTCAACTCCCAAGACACAACACACTCGAGGATTGAGTGTTCCATTATCAATGAACTTCAACGGAAGCTTCCAAAGCAGAAACATTGGAAACGGCAGCAATAGGATAAAAGGAAGAGAGAGAGATGAAAAGCAAAACATGGCAAAATTGAGTGACGTAGATATGTATGAGAGTTATCGTTATGATTCACTATTATTTAAAGAAGATTTGAACAACACAAACTGGCTGCGTAGTGTTGATGATAGATGTGACCAAGGACCCATCTTTGATAATGGATTTGAGTCCCTGCCAGAACCTTTTGGACTCTTGTAGCATTCACAAGCTTCTCCTTGCCACATTTCTAATGTGGTATTTACATCTTAATTGTCATTTACCAAAGATCCATTATAAAATGTGTGGATTTAACTTCGATCCTACTAGTGAGTACTAAGCAAACATTTAATGTCACACAAGTTGAATCTTTGATCTGTATAAAATATTGTTTGTATAGATTTTGTCGTATCAATATATGTATATAAGACAAAACTTAAATACAGATCTTAGTTCTTTAAGTGTGATTGATGTTAATTAGAATTAGAATTTTACTTCAATATTATACAGTTGCATTTAACACCCAAATTTTATTAATATATATTTTCACATATTATTAAAGTAAAATTGTATTTATGATTGGAGAACAATACCAATCACTTAAAGATTTGCAACTTAATTTTATCATATGACCAATACTTCTGGGTCAAGATGACACAATAAATATCCCTCCTTTCTGCTTTGCCATTCACAAACAAAAGGAAAATGAATTTATGTCCCTAATAATAATTCTAATTTACTAAAATATTTTTCTAGATATTGGGGTTAAAAAAAAATATAAGTTCTAAACTTCTTTTATATTTTGTCAAAATAAATTGGTGTGACCGTTTAATGAAAAATATATGCTTGACAAGAATAAAAAATGTATTTTTTAACATATTATAATATTATTATTAAATTTTAGCATTTCTATGCATGTTAGTCAAATTTTAATTTTGAGTAAAAATCTCACTCACAATTTAGATTTTGTATTATGAGAGATTATTATAAGATTTGGAACTATTTAATTCTAATAATCTTTATTTGACATTTCATTAGTTTTTCATAAATTAAAAAAAAAGTATGCTTATGTATTATAAAGAAATTAATCAAGAACACATTTTCCTAAACCATCTAATGATTTCTTAGTAGACATAAATAGCATTAAAAATAAAATCCTTCTAAATTCATAAAAATTAAAATTATGTTATGTACTATCCGTACCGCCATGTTGAGCTCGAGCTCGGCACAGCTGCGTGGAATGACCTCGGAACACGCATTTGGAGACCTCAGTCTAAACGAGATCCGCAATCCAACCAGATCATAACCGATCTCAGGAGATCTCGGTCCAGACGAGATCCGCTATCTAATTAGATCATAACTGATCTCAGGCCCAAGGCCCAACGCAACCCTAACTCACACTAAGGTACGTGCATTACTTATACAAGACATCTACTCATACAAACCCTAACTTTAGCATTGGAGTCTCTTTTGCAGGTACCACCCCCATCTTGAAACACCAACGTACCCGCGAAGAAGGCTCACCAATCTTACTCGGTGGATCACCTTTACAGCAGATCTCCAGTAAGAACATTTGGCGCCCACCGTGGGGCCGATCAAGACAGCTCTTATCGGCCACGCTTATGGTATTCACCAGAAGCCATAGCATACGCGCAATAGACGACACAGATCACACAACTACCATGGATAACGAAGCCACATTGAGGAGACTGATCGACCAGGTCGAATAGATGCGGCAACAACACGACGCCGATCTGCGAAACATGCGTGCCCAGCACGAAACCGACCTAGCGGTGATGCAGACCGCCAATGAAGCTGACCTAGTGGCGCTACGCGCTGAAAACGAGCGGATTCACGCCCAGCTCCCTCGACGCCCCTCTGATCATCCTCTTGAGGCGAGCAACCTCCACGAGGAAGAAGGGCACTCGGTCTCTCACCCCCGAACTGCGACTAGGGCACCGACTCCACGACCTGTCATGCATCAGTCTCATGTACCGACGAACAAGTCGGCCCATGAAGTCAGCAAGGCCCCAACTCATGTCACGGGGGGTCAAGCAACCTTCCGCTGTCATCCCTTTGCGGATGGCATCATAGAGACACCACTCCCTCAAGGGTGGAAGCCTCTCCACCTCGATCGCTATGATGGCACGACGGACCCCGATGAGCACATCGACCTGTATACGACACAGGTAAACCTCTACACTAACAATGATGCTATTTTGTGTAGGGTTTTTTTGACCTCGCTCAAAGGGGCCGCGCTCAACTGGTACACCCAGCTTCCCGCTGAGTCAATCAATAGTTTCAGCACTCTAGTTAGGCGATTCACGGCGCAATATGCAACGAGCCGGCCTCACCACATCACCTCAGCCACCCTGGCCAGTCTCAAACAGAACGACGACGAGCCACTCAGGGCATTCATGGAGCGATTTGCCGCCACCTCGGTTAAGATCAGAAATCTGAACCCCGAGGTCGCCCTGCATGCCATGCTCATGGCACTCAAGCCTGGGCCATTCGTCGACAGCCTATGCCGTGTGGCTCCTTGCGACATGGACGAGCTCCGCGCCCGCGCTGCGGGCTACATCCAGATGGAGGAACACTCTGCCTTCCATGACCAGGTCCGCGACAAAGGACCAATGAAACCAGCACAGGGTCACAAGGACAAGATTAAGGTCAACAATGATAGCCAGTTCAAGAAGTCGGCTAGAGCAGAAAAAGGGAGGAGATACGACTTCTATACTCCCCTGAACACGCCCCGAGCACATATCCTGGAGGAGGCCAGTAACAGCAACCTGCTCACCCTGCCCCCGCCAGGTCACACCCCCAACAGTGCCGACAAATCCAAGCACTGTCGGTACCACAAAAATCACGGTCACACCACTGAGGAGTGTCGCACACTCCGAGACCGTATTGAAGAGCTCATCCAGGCAGGCCACCTTGGCCAATATATCCAGCACAGCAGGGTCATCGAGGAGGCCATGGTGGACGAGGACGAGGCAGAGGTCGTGGTGCAGGAGCTCGCACGGACCAACCCTCTGGCTCCCAACAAAACACCGGCGGAGCAGTGCAAGCCGAGGTAAGCCAGGAAACAGGGTCAGCTCCCCTACGGGAGTAATCAACACAATTGCAGGTGGTTTCGCAGGCGGAGGCGCCAGCAGCTTGGCCTAGAAGAGACACCTGCGCAATATCAACAGCGTCCATTCCACTACCTCGGCTTCACACCAGAGCTCGCCGCCGATCACCTTCACCGACGACGACTATGCTGGTATCAATCCCAACCAGGATGATCCCATGGTCATAGCCGTGGAGGTAGCTAATTGGGAGGTTCACAAGACACTGATAGACCAAGGGAGCTCGGCAGACGTCCTCTATTGGCCGACCTTCCTCAGGTTAGACATCCCCCACTCTCTCATCCAACCTCACACAGAGCCCCTAGTCGGTTTTGCAGGAGAGCGAGTGCACACCCGGGGATACGTGGACCTGTTGACCACCTTTGGAACCTCTCCGGATACAAGGAGAATCATGGTCCGATACCTCCTAGTGGAAGCCAACACCTCCTATAACATCATCATTGGGAGACCGACGTTGAATCAGCTCGGAGCAGTGGTGTCCACTCCACACCTCACCATGAAATTCCCAGGAAGTGACGGTAAAATCATCTCCGTTAAAGCGAATCAGAAGACGGCTCGACAGTGCTACACCGAGAGTCTGAAGATCTCCTCATCCGGTGAGCAAAGCAAGAAGGATCCCCCCATAGTGGCTCACATCACCCACGTGGAAATCGCCGATCTCGATCCGAGATCCGACTCCCATGACGAGCGGCCAAGCCCCATTGACGAGCTTGACGACCTCCAGATCAGGAAACTCCTCGGGCAATGCACAAAAATCAGCAGGCAGCTGAGCTTGGAGTTGCGACAGTAGCTCGAAGCTGAGATCCTCAAGAACGCCGACCTCTTCGCCTGGTCCAGTGCCGACATGCCAGGCATAAACGCTGACTTCATCTGTCACAAGTTAGCGATACACAAGGAGGCAAAGCCAGTGGCCTAGAGAAAGAGGAAGGTCGGTGGTGAAAGGTGGGAGGCCATCATCGCCGAGACACAAAAGTTGCTGAATGTCGGCTTCATTCGTGAAGTCAGATACACCACATTGCTGGCGAATGTGGTTTTGGTTAAGAAGAGCTCGGGGAAGTGGCGCATGTGCGTCGACTACACCGACTTGAACAAAGCATTCCCCAAGGACTCATACCCCTTGTCGAGCATTGACAGGCTGGTCGACGGAGCATCCAGGCATGCCCTCCTTAGTTTCCTCGACGCCTACTCCAGGTACAACCAGATAATGATGTACCCACCCGACGAAGTGCATACATCCTTCATCACCGACCACGCCAACTACTACTACCGGGTAATGCCATTCGGCCTCAAAAATGCAGGGGCCACTTACCAGTGACTGATGGACAAGGTTTTCCACCAGCAGATCGGGCGGAACATGGAAGTCTACATCGACGACATGGTGGTCAAGACCACCTCGGCCACTGACCATACTATTGACCTCACCGAGGTGTTCGCCCAGATCAGGAGACACAACATGCGTTTCAACCCGGAGAAGTGCGTCTTCGGCGTCCAGGGAGGCAAGTTCCTCGATTTCATGATCACTAGCAGAGGAATCGAAGCCAACCCTGAAAAGTGCAAAGCCATTATCTAGATGCAGAGTCCGCAAATGGTGAAAAAAGTCCAACGCCTGGCTGGACTCCCGTTTCATACCCAGACTCGCGAAGAGAGCAGGGCCAATCTTCACTCTACTACGGAAGCTAAAAGACTTCCAGTGGACGGATCAGTGCGAAGAAGCCTTCTGCAATTTCAAGACTTTTCTCATGACTCCGCCAATTCTACAGAGGCCGGATCACAAAACCGACCTCCTCCTTTACCTGGCCGTAGCAGAAAATGCCATCAGTGCGGTAATAGTGCAAGAACATCAGAAAGTGCAGACGCCAGTCTACTTTATCAGCCGAGTCCTCCAAGATGCGGAGAAACGATACTAAATGATCGAAAAATTGGCACTGGCACTCGTCACCGCAGCCCGACGTCTCCAACCTTACTTCTAGAGCCATTAGGTGATAGTCAAAACTGACTACCCCATAAAGCAAATCTTGAGAAAGCCGGAGCTCGCCGGGCGAATGATTGCATGGTCGGTCGAGTTGTCCGAGTTCGGCATCCAGTACGAAAGTCGCAGGGCCCTAAAAGCTCAATGTCTAGCCGACTTCGTAGCCGAGCTCACGCCTGCTACTGTCGAGGAACCCCAGGTATGGACTTTACACGTTGATGGGTCCTCTAACTCTAAGGGTGGTGGTGCAGGTATCATATTGGAAGGGCCAAACCAAGTCACTTTGGAGCAATCCCTCAAATTCAGCTTCAAGGTAACCAACAACCAGGCGGAGTACGAGGCACTCCTCACAGGACTGAGGCTGCCTCGCGACCTCGGAGCCCGAAGAGTGATTTGCAACAGCGACTCGAAGCTCATGGTGGAGCAGCTCAGAGGGACGTACTAGGCAAAGGTACCCTTCTACAACAGTACTTCCACATCGCATCCCATCAGATCTCGTCCTTCGACGAGTTCACCATACAACATGTGCCGCGAGAACAAAATGCCCGAGCCGATCTCCTGTCGAAACTCACCAGTACCAAAAGGCCTGGACAGCACCGGACTATCATTTAGGAGACTTTGCACTCACCTAGCCTGGATGATGTGCTTCCACTTGGAATGCACATGGATGCTTCAAGCTTTCACGGAAGTCCTTGGAAGAAGCTTCAAGGATGGAGGCTCCACAAAAGCTCAATGTGATCTAAGCTTGCATTCAAGCTAAGTCCGAAGAAGATTTAGGGTTCCTAGCTCTACAAAGAGAAGCACTCAAGGAGGGTAGAGTTTAAAAACTAGGTGACTTCGGAGGGATGAATTTCAAGAGAGAAAAACACATCAATATATTCTAAAGTAAGCTTACAAGTCTCGGCCACAAGGATTTATAGGTATATATTAGGTAAAGGTGACCTTGGGTTAGCCTAAGGTTAAGTGGAACCAAGGTAAGGTTCACTTAACCTTAGGCGCCCAAAATTTGAATTCAAATTCAAATTTTGGTGCCTAAAACCCAGATCACCCATGTGCTTATTCATTTGGCCTGTAATTAGCAATCCATTTGAGTTGCATTTCGGATCACACCATGTGCATGTGTTGCACATGGCCGAAATGCACATCAAATGTGATTTTAATTACATGCTAATGAAACCTCACATGTAACCTAAAATAACCCTAAATGCAAATGTCCTCTAAATGTAAATCCTAAGCTACATGGCCGGAAATACAAGGCCCAAAAAGAATTACAAGGCACCAAGGCCCAATCCTACACTAACCCTAGTCTACTTGGGCTTGAGTCAAAGCCCAACAAAACAAAGTAATGGGCTTCCCTTGGGCTTGGGCCCACTCTTCATTAATCCTTCTTGCCATAGCTTTAGTAGTTGGGCCCTTGGCCCATGGACTTCCTCCATCATCCCCTCCCTCTTGAAGAGGATTTGACCTAGTAAGTGGTCATACATGATCACGTGGCATCTTTTTAAAATGACACGTTAATCAAACTGGCAGTGGTAACTTCCTCGGTTTGTTCATACAAAATTAATAGATGTACACTTTGTTATCATATATACTAGACTAGAAAAAGATAGAAAAATATAAATGTGATAAATAATTAATATGATTAAATAAGAAGATAAATAGAGAGAGAATAAAAAAATCACTGAATTAATATATAGCAAATGTTAATATATCAATACCCTTGTTTATACCACATACTGAACAATCACTGAATTAATGATTAACTGTTGTCAATATAATTATTCAATGTGTGGGAAGACGTACCGGACACAAGCCTCAATATTGGATTAAGAACTGCCGGTCCAAAGGGAGAAAGATAAAAAGAAAATAAAGAAAGAGATGAGTTACAATTCATTTTTCATTTAAGAAATTGGACAATAAATAAAAAAGCAAGGTTTTACAATTTTTGTGCAACCACATATATCATAATCAAGAAATTCGCACTGTTGTAAAGGAAACTAGAGAATTCCACATAACATCATCTAAAGAACTAATGCATTTCTGATAGTATAAAAGCAATATCTTGAAAGAGTGAAACACAAGAATATTTATAAGAATGAAATCCTTTTGGTTTGTTATACCCATATAAAATATTCTTAAATATTAATTAAGAAAATAAAGATCAAAATTTGCAGGCAGTTACATAAAAGAAACAGAAAAAGAAATTAAACTAGGGGAGTCATAATGAGTTTCAAAAGATGTGGTGTATGATATTTGAGTGTGATCAGTTGGATTAGATAATAGATCATAGGTAGCTGCGCTATAGATGAGGGACCAATTTAGGTTCTTAAAAAGCATCCACTCAACTCAATCTAACGGTTGGATTTTATATATCAATTCTTGTATGAATAAACAATTCAGGTGCTGCCACACTTATTAAAGCAGCTGACGCAGCTGCTGTGTTAAATTTTCCTGCAGTTGGGGCCTGGTCACGACTGATGCACTAACGCAGCAGATGTTGCTTTGAACAGCTGACCCCAACCTTAGATTTCAACCTATTCCATCAACTAAATAATAATTCACTCTACAATTAAGAATTTTATGAACGAGAAGTGAAGTTTTAATTTTATAGCATTCATCTTTCTTGCATTTAAATGTAAAAAGTAAGTGGTCATACATGATCACGTGGCATCTTTTTAAAATGACACGTTAATCAAACTGGCAGTGGTAACTTCCTCGGTTTGTTCATACAAAATTAATAGATGTACACTTTGTTATCATATATACTAGACTAGAAAAAGATAGAAAAATATAAATGTGATAAATAATTAATATGATTAAATAAGAAGATAAATAGAGAGAGAATAAAAAAATCACTGAATTAATATATAGCAAATGTTAATATATCAATACCCTTGTTTATACCACATACTGAACAATCACTGAATTAATGATTAACTGTTGTCAATATAATTATTCAATGTGTGGGAAGACGTACCGGACACAAGCCTCAATATTGGATTAAGAACTGCCGGTCCAAAGGGAGAAAGATAAAAATGCTTGGGTAAGTTTATGCTTAAGTTCTTGAAAAGCTAAGTTATGTTTTTCTTGCCATTCAAAGACCACATCCTTCTTCACCAACTCATTGAGAGGTGAAGCTAATGTAGAGAAGTTAGGAACAAATTTTCTATAAAATCTTGCCAAACCATGGAAGCTCCTAACTCACTAACATTAGTAGGAATAGGCCATTCTTGGATGGCTTACAATATGGGATAAAGCCCTGCCGGTCCAAAGGGAGAAAGATAAAAAGAAAATAAAGAAAGAGATGAGTTACAATTCATTTTTCATTTAAGAAATTGGACAATAAATAAAAAAGCAAGGTTTTACAATTTTTGTGCAACCACATATATCATAATCAAGAAATTCGCACTGTTGTAAAGGAAACTAGAGAATTCCACATAACATCATCTAAAGAACTAATGCATTTCTGATAGTATAAAAGCAATATCTTGAAAGAGTGAAACACAAGAATATTTATAAGAATGAAATCCTTTTGGTTTGTTATACCCATATAAAATATTCTTAAATATTAATTAAGAAAATAAAGATCAAAATTTGCAGGCAGTTACATAAAAGAAACAGAAAAAGAAATTAAACTAGGGGAGTCATAATGAGTTTCAAAAGATGTGGTGTATGATATTTGAGTGTGATCAGTTGGATTAGATAATAGATCATAGGTAGCTGCGCTATAGATGAGGGACCAATTTAGGTTCTTAAAAAGCATCCACTCAACTCAATCTAACGGTTGGATTTTATATATCAATTCTTGTATGAATAAACAATTCAATAAATCCTTAAGAATATATGAAAAAATATTATAAATAAACATACTTGATTTATTATTTGAAGCTTTGAAAGGCATGCTCTTTTTTTCTCTATAATTTTTGTCTATTGTATATTTAGTTTATGCACACATTAAGTGAACCTTAGTTTCTCGTTTGAGATTCAATACAAATGATTAAATTTATTTAATCATTTATATTTAATCTTTAATTGTCTTATTGGACAGTTTGGGATGAGTAATTTTATTTATACTTGTTTGATACGTACAAGTTAAGTCTCATCTTAAATTTGATTAAATTTTGGTTTATTGCATTTTGTGTTGCTCTTTGAGTGCATATTTGATTGTGGTGTATATAATTTGATGTCACCACTTTCATTTCATGTACTTAGAGACCAATACGAAATGCTGTCAAAATTTTGTCAAGTTTAAGAAAATGGATTGTACTAGTACATATTGATCAAGTATAAAATAAAATCTTGAATGGGATAGGGACACACCTTGTATAAAATAGTGAGATTGACATCCATGGTCTATCTTTTTGATAGAGAACATAACTTATGGATCGAAGTTGGTTATTGGATCGAAGTTGGATACGAGCACCATGCATAAGTGAGCAATATGAGACTGGAGTTGAATATTTTATTGAATATGTAATACGGAATTGTAATGATGATATGAATGGAAAGTTTTTCTGTCCTTGTGTTAATTGTTGTAATGGAAGTCGTTTAGAACTTGATGTTATAAGGGAACATCTTCTATGTGATGGGTTTCTTAAGAATTATACACGTTGGATATGGCATGGTGAAAATATTGACATTCCAAATGTGTCAGCTGAAACTCAAACTCAAAATTTTACACAAGAGGTAGATATGGATGATCGGCTTGAGGAGATGATTCGTGATGTTGGTCCAGAATCATTCAAGAGAGCACATATGTATGAAACTTTATGCAGAGATTCAGAGAAGACGTTATATCCAAATTGCACAAAATTCACAAGATTGTCAGCGGTATTGAGATTGTTTAATTTGAAGGCGAGACATGGGTGGAGTGATAAAAGTTTCACAGAATTGTTAGAGTTGCTGAAAGAAATGCTTCCAGAAGGTAACACATTGCCTAGTCGTAACTACGAGGCAAAAAAAGTGTTGTGTCCCATGGGTTTAGAGTATAAGAAGATACATGCATGCCCAAATGATTGTATGCTATATCATGGTGAGTTTGAAGGCTTGCATGAATGTCCAAGGTGTGGGTTGTCACGATATAAAAAGAAGCAAGGTGATTTTGATTATGAGATTAGCAGTAAGGGTCCTCCGGCAAAGGTGTTATGGTATTTGCCAATTGTTCCAAGATTGAAGCGTTTGTTTGCTAATGCAGATGATGCAAAGTTGATGAGATGGCACGAAGATGAAAGGAAATGTGATGGACAACTTAGGCATCCAGCAGATTGTTTGCAATGGAAAAAAATTAATTCTATGTTTCCAAATTTTGGTAAGGAGCCAAGAAATGTTAGGCTTGGACTAGCTACAGATGGAATGAATCCGTTTGGTAATTTAAGCACAAAGCATAGTTCATGGCCTGTTTTGTTGATAATTTACAACTTACCTCCATGGTTATGCATGAAACGCAAATATGTGATGTTATCTATGATGATTTCTGGTCCAAGGCAACCAGGAAATGACATTGATGTTTATTTAAGTCCGTTGGTCGAAGACTTAAAGATGTTGTGGGACGAGGGAATTGATGTGTTTGATGGGTATTCAAGTGAATCATTCAAGTTGCATGCCATGTTGTTCTGCACAATTAATGACTTCCCAGCATATGGAAACTTGTGCGGGTATAGTGTTAAGGGGCATAAAGCTTGCCCTATTTGTGAAGAGGGAACTTGTTATCATCAATTGCATAATTGGAAGAAGACAGTTTACCTTGGCCATCGAAGGTTTCTTAAACCTAACCATCCATATCGAAGGTTAAAGAAAGCTTTTAATGGATATCAAGAATATGACATTGCTCCTACTGCATTAACTGGTGACGAAGTTTATGAACGAGTGAAAAATTTAAATGTGGTACTTGGTAAGACTAAAAAACAATCAAAAGATACAAACATATGGAAGAAGA